ATTTGTGAATTAAAGAATTTTATATTAAAATTTTATTAACAATAAGATAAGATAATTTTATTAAGAAAATAACTTTTTCTCTTTGTTTGTAATATTGAAATTTAATCCGTATTATATTATATACATATGTGTATACACACATATAATTTCAATAGAAAAATTATTTTTTAAAATGGTTTTTTTAATATTAAATTATATTTACATTTACAGATCACTAATCTCAGCATGCTTTTTGATCTTAAGAGTTTTTTTCTTTTGAAATATTTTAAAAATCACTTAAAGCATAACTGCAGAAGTTTCTTTTTTTTATTACGTTTATATTATATCCGTATTATGCCTCTGCACGAGCACAAGACATTCTATTGGAGGAACCTAATCTGTAAATTTTCGCCTGTGTTTAACTCGTTCGTTAAAGCGACGAAATTAACGCTAAACGGTGCGGTAAAACGCTTACTGCGATATTTTATTATGAAAATTCCATTCCACGAGTATCTAAAAATTAATTAATATCAGCTTTGCGTTTAATGTGTACACTACAACGAAAATAATACAGTTAATTTTTCTGCAGAGCAATCAATTATCTTTTATGAGAGGAAGAAGAAAAATCAGAAGATGATATTAATCTTAATCTTAGCCTATATATCTGTTTATAATATCATTTAAAAGCTACGAGATACCAAAACTTTTTTCAGAATGGGAAAAATTCGAGTACCCCAGTTATTATTTCTTAGCGCAAATGTGGAATTTCGTATCGTCATCTACAAGATAATTACCATGCGAGCGCTAAAAGGCTTCCCTCCACGTGCAAGCCAATAAGTATCGCTGTATTGAATACTGGCGATCCGACGCTCTCGTCGCCGAGAGGAGTTCTCTCTCTTTCTCTCACGACGAAGGGGGGCCGATCGTTACGGGCTACCCCAGCGAAAATCATTACTACCAGAATATTTAATAATGCTGATAATACCAAGTCGGAGTCACCGCGGCCTACATTCAAATGCCAACTGGAGTAACACAATTGCATCTGTTTCTCTCTCTCTCTCTTGCTCTCAGAACATTCCTGGTAACGGATGCCGTTGTCGAAGGGTTGTTGTTTGTATCGTCGATATTTGTTACTACTGCGGCGAAACCTTTTTGCGACGAATTGATAGAGAACTATCACATGAAGAAATATGCTGTATTGAAGATATGAATATTGGAACAGGTGGAGAGTTTTATTGTGAGGTAAAGTTACAAGTATTTAGTTATTTAATGCGTTTAGAAATGCAAGATACATGTCTCTCTTTCTCTTTCTTCTTTCTTATATCTCGCATTTAGATAAACATAGAATATGAATGCAAAAAGAGCCTACTAGATAATAGTTCTCATAAAATATATATGTAAAGCAAAATTGGGATTATCGGCAAATAATTTTTTAATGACTAAAATTAATAAAATAATATATAATAATAATAATTAATAATAATAGCAATTTTCATACAGTTTTATCGCTTATAATTTATAAATTTATATGGATAGATTTGCACGTAATATTTCGGAAATCGCGTATCTTTTTTAAAACAATATTAAAGTTTAAACGAAACACACACACATACACACACACACACACATTAGATAAACATAGAATATGAATGCAAAAAGAGCCTACTAGATAATAGTTCTCATAATATCAGTCTTAATATCATATATGAGATTTAATTTCAAAAACATTTTAGAACATGTTTAAAAATTACGATACAAAAATTCTTATATAACATGCATGCATATATATATATAAAATCGCTTCAATATCAAAGCATCTCAGTTCTTATAAATTTTAACTTATAAGTTATAAATAATTAAAGATTGAAGAGCTTTAACTTTAAATTAAAATTTCAATATTACAAACTATTATTAAAATTTCAATATTACAAACTATTATTAAAATTTCGATATTACAAACAAAGAGAAAAAAGTTATTTCCCAACAGATTTTATTTTAATAAAATTTTAACGAGGAATTCTCTAATTCACTAATATCAATCGGTCGTAACCTTCAACTATAATTCTCTCTCTTCGTCTCTTTATAATTCTATTTGCAGAAAGTGAGAAACGGACATAGATTTGAACTTGAATCCAAGTTGATCGATATTGATGAAATTATTAGTTTATTCATAAAGATATTTAGAGCGTTTTACATCTCTTAATAGAGCTTCCAAAGAAGACGATGAAATTGCCCTGATAAAATTTCCAAAAGCTGAAAGATTATTATCTGCGGGAGGACGTGAAAAGCCGCGGAGATATCCAGAGGTGGATGGAAGTTGAAGATTCGTATCGGGCCACACTTCGCAAGAGATGGAAAGATACAAATCTAACAAACATGCCGCTGCGCTGATGCCAATAGAGGTGGTGGTGGTAAAGGAAACGCGAGTTGAAGGTTGGCGGCGGCGAGTTGTAGGGTCGCAGGGGTGCACGGAGACGGCGGGGTGGTGCGCACGGACCAGTGGATCAATTCGCGCTCCGGGAGCTACACAGGGGGAAAAGCAACAGTCTGTCAGCCCCTTTCCACCCGGAAAAGTCGCTCCGGCCACGGTACGCTATTATCTCGCGCACATCCGTCCCAAGGTTTTCGTCAGATGACGGCGATGAAATCCGTCGTCGCGATTATATATTGCTAGAGAAGATCGAGGAGAAAGGACCTCTCCTGGGAAAATACACAAAATACTCGGGGCCTGTACAGCCTACGATAAAGAGAGAGAGAGCAGAGAGATCCGTGAGAAATCCTACGCGAACTACAATTGGCAGTATGGGCAGCGCGTGTAAAAAACGTCGACATTATTAACGCGTCGCCGGAATTATAGATAGATTCCGCATAGATCCTGCTTACGTCAAAATTAAGAGCTGCGGCGGCTGCGGCACAAGTTGAATCGAATCTTGTAGTTGTACCTTACCTTATCCTTACCATGTGACGCGTTAAGTTACGATTCTCTGGGTTGTTTCTCACAGACGAGGTAATGCAAGAGGTTGTTCGAACCGCGTGCAGTTTGAGAATAAGCAACTAATGAACTGATGTCGTTTCATCGATTTCTACGGCGCTGTGAAATCGTGAGATCTTTAAAATTCAACACTCGCGTGCGGTTGCCCGATTCGGTATTTGGTTTGACCTTAGTGTACTTGACGATATTATCAACTCGAATAGAAAGAGAGAGCTTGTTTCGATAAAACATATCGAAAGGAAAATCTTCAAGAGGGCAATGTTACGTTATCCGCTTACTTAAGAGAGACGCAAATTGTCGTTGGCGGAATACGAGATTTGACCTGATTTCCATTGAATATGCCTTTATGCGGTATCCAAGAGAGAAAGAGAGAGAGAGAGTGGAGCCGGAGTCCGTGGAGATGACGCCGTCGCGGGGGCCGACGCGATTGTCGCAGAGTCGCTCGTTTGTTCCCAAGCCCCAGTGAGTCAATAGTGAGGTGGCGCGAGGAGGACGACGTTTAGATATCGGTTTTCCGGTATCGCGCTTTGGAACTCTCCCTCCGATTACACACGACTCGTCGTATGCATCGCGCCAATAAACTACTTTGCTCTTTTTACACCATCCCTTCACCCCACCGCGCGCTTTCACTATCGAGCGACGAAAAACCTAACACTCGTGTCTCTCGTTGCGCACACTAATGTCCTGAAATAGAACGGAGGAGTTTGGTAGTAGAGCCCAGTTCTTCCTGGTAGCACGGTCTTGTCAAATTAACACAGTTAATACAGGGACGATGGCGACGATATTGTTTGCCGATCTTGAAGATACACTTGTCAGACAGGAATGTCGTGTATGCTTGCAGACGAGTGTCCGAACAGCGGCGAGGATAGCGAGGAGGATGTAATAACCGATTACCTTGGCTCATCGCACTCCGACTGCGATCGCGTGCCGCCTATCATTAATGGAGATCTGCGCGGCCTGAGTCTGCACGGCGGCATAGTCACGGAAATTGGCTACATCACCAAAGACAAAGCGTCGATCGTCATGTCCGAGAGCGGCGAGGAACAGCAGCACCAGCGGCAGCAACAGCAACACCCGTTGCTCGCACTCGGCACTAATATACAAAGCCAGCCTAATCCTCTGGTACCCATCATTAGCGTCACCCCGCACTCACCCGGTCTGGCCAAGAACTATCCGGTCTTAGGTAATGTTTCACAAGCTTTAGCAGATGGCAAATGCAAGAATATAAAATTGAAATTTGATGCATCTAGCTATAATAGTTGTTTTATTTATTAAATATTTGACAAGTTACACAATTTTAATTTATATTAAAAAACAAATACAATCGACTTATAAACTGTAGAAATAAAAGATGTAAAATTTAATAGAGCTTTGGTTATCCCTTTTTCTGAATTACAATTAAGTATTCTTAATTCAATATGATGTAACGCGAGCAATACGATTTGTTTTTTCACAGAGGAGAACTTGCAGCAGCTGCACGAGATCCACGATTGCATTCAGCGTATGCGAGACCTTACGTTGGGCACTTTGGGGTACCACATTCGCGTGTCCAACAACTCCGACGCTCCGCAGAGATTGACTTCCTCCTGCCCGTCCCTGTGTCCACTGATCACCGCCGAGCTGGTATCTCGTTCCGGTAACAATCATCACCATGACACTGGCTCCGATCCAGACCTCTTCCTTGCCAATTGCTCTACCAACAGTTCCCCGACGCATTTCCCGTCGGCAAGCGGTCGCGCTCGCACGCAACAGTCGCAGGGTATAGACAGGCGACGCAGCTGGACCGGGGATCTGGAGGATCTGGAAGAGAGTCGACGCGGTAACCGCCGATACTCTGGGCAAAATCATCTGCAGGCCCAAAATATGGTTAATATCGTCCGTTACTTGTTGAAACCAGGGCACGATCCGATCTCGGTGAGTTCAAGTTTCGATGCCGCAGGATTTTGATGCTACGCAAAAGAATATTTTGTCATTACCTTTATGTAATGCTATGCGCATTTTTGTATTTTTTTTTTGTATTATTTAAGAAATATAAAGGATATAAAAATATCTCATTTTTGCGCGCGTGTTCTGCGTAGCATCGAGATCTGAACTCGTCGAAATTATATCGGTCTCAAATGCCCGGTCATTCTTGATACTCTCGCTTTATGATGGTGGCATGGCTGGCTCTGGTCGCTTGCGCATTATACGCTTCCCGCCGCAGCCGCCGCTCTAATGCTCGCCACACAATCACAACGTACCCCATTTACTCGTTTCAGCGACAACGCAGCATTAGTTTAAGTAGCCTAGACAGCGAAAACGAGCTAGAATTAGATGGGAAATCGTGTGCTGGACCGGTAAGCGTAGGCAATCGGGCATGCAGGTCACAAACGAGCACTCACTCGCTGAACGAAGCTGATCTTGTACAGGTAAATTTCAGAGATCCTTCTTCGAGGGACGCGATTCCCTCTTTCTCCTGCACAGGCATACTACATAGCGAATTTTTCTTTGACAGAGTGAATATCAGAAGATAGTCATAAAGAGGGATAGTCAGAGGTTAGCAGAAAGTAGCAGTTTAATGCCAGGGCTGACTGGTTCGCGTTTACCTCTTCAGAAATCCATATCGACGCCCTCGATCGTTACACCGCAGGTTCACGCACATTTAGCCGAAACCGGAACTCGGACGACGCCTTCACTTGCAGCGTAAGTATGTTATGCGAATAGATGAAGATCGTACAGCTAGATCAATGATAAAGAAACATCTTAGAAATTACATACATTTTCTATGATTAAAGATCATGTCTCTCTTAAACAAGAACAACGTTTAAGTTCTTTCGAACAATCGTAATCTAGCTTGCGATCTTATTATAAATTAACGCACAAAAAGCTATATGCACACATTTCATGCGTGCGTAGGTACTCGTGTGTCATATATTTTCACGCGCATATATTTACATCTTGTTTCACTTTTTTCTCTACTTTTTTTTTTTTTTAAGATTTTCAATTTTTTGCACAAGTAGAAACTTATTTCTAAAATAAACACAGACATGTGTCCGTGCATGAATTTTTTTAAACTAGTAAAATGGGGATGTCTCTGTTTCTCTCTCTTTTTGAGAGATGTCTACATTCATGAATGCTTAAAACATTCTGCATTATGTAGATCTTTTAGCATGACTGCTCGCGTGTCGTTGTATCATAAGCTACATGAAACATGAACGCAAGAAAACGTCATACCAGTCTGTCTGCTATTATTTATTTATTAATATAATTAATATCTTGAAACTTTCATTATCTACACGAGAGACTAAAATAATAAATAAAACATATGTATATCCATTATTGAAAGTAATAATAGTAATAGTATACTAGTATTATTACTGAAAATAATAATAGTAATAGTATACTTCTCTTTCTTTCTCTCTTTCTCTCTCTTTCTCATTATTTGCCAATCGTGTAATCATTTTTCTTAAACGCAAGCAGTTTGCTATTTAAAATATTATATCGATGTGCTCTTCTGTAATATAGTATCGAAGAATATGTCGATTATAATATTTTATTTTACACGATAGTTGCTTAGTTTGTGTTTGTACTTGAAAATTTGCTATAACAATCCTGCATGAAACAGCCGTCATGAAAGAAACGAAAAGGGTAGCGGGAGTGAGACAGAAACCGAGGATCTTCATACAACACACAGCCACGAATTCCACGAAGACCGAGAGGGCACTCCAAGTGTCCAGATATCCCTTGACGAGCTTTTGACCGAGTGAGTAAAACTTGATGCCTGAAATCTTCATATATATTCAATAACATTATTTATGATATTGCAAATATATTTTTAATATCTCTGATGGAAATGGTTTGTACGCCGGTTTGCCGCCAATCGATCAATTTTGTCAGCCACAAATAGAAAGAGAGTCTGTAGTTATATTACAACTGCAAACATAGATGAATCTAAATACATTTGTTATTTTAAAATGAGACATATATCGTGTATATATATACAAAGTCTGATACCGAGCTGCAGCTGATCGACGCAAAAAAAAAAAATAAGATCGGATATTTTTTGATCAGACCTCGTATATACGAGGTGCTACCGAAAATTTTCCGGACTTACTCTATAAAAAATGTTAGGCTTATTCTATTTACAATTTGCTTCGTAATTATGGCAGTTTAATGTCACTTAAGACTCATTAAACGAAAATTATTGAATCTTTTAAATGCCAATCTACAAAAATTGCTATATCACACATAGCTTGTGCATGCTACACATATCTTTTTAAACACATAGCTTTGATTGCACCGAGGCTACACATATACATACATACTTTTATATCTCATAATAAGCTGTGATTAGATCAAAACGCTTTTATAGTTGCACTGCTGATCACACAAGATATAATTTTAAATGTCTTATTTGAAATTGAACAATGTCGACATTTATGCTGATTTTTTCAGTAGTACTGCATACGATGATCATCATTCCGAAAAGACTAGAAGAAAGCGCGGCTCCATCTTCTTTCGTAAAAAGAAGGTAAAACGATAACTAAATTGCAATTATGCAATATATCTAATAAAGACGTTTTTGACGAATCAACCATGCTAAAATGTCATTCCAGGATAAAAGCGGGAAAAAAACCAATCAGCAGCAACATTTGTGGGTAACGATGACAGTGGGATCTCAAGGAAGCTTACTATGTGATGTTTGTATGAAACATTCGACGAATAAGCCGCTCCTTCATTGCGATAGTAAGAAAACTATTTATATCAGACGCGATTATCTCGCCTTTTGTGAATAATTAACTTTTGTAGAATTATATTTTAATAAATTGTTTTATCAAATCAGATTGCGGAGCATCGGTTCATCAAAGTCAAGGATGCAAGGATCAATTGATGCTGGAATGCGTCAAGTCTAAACATCACTCCAGCAAATCCGCGTCAAAATCTTTGTCGAGTGTTTCCACAATTTCAAGTAACAGCAGCATTAACAAACGTGGTTCCACGACGTCGTTGCCTCTACCAGCGTCATCCGGAAGCGGAAGGTAATATAAGTTTCATCGACGAAAATTATACATCTTTTGCATTGGATCTGCGTATCTGTGGTTCAAGATTCGCACGCAAATGGCATGGCGCTGAGCCTAAGCTCGGAGTTTGTAATAAACTCCTCTTATACTTGTGCGAAACGAGTAATGAGTAACTCGGATCGCGTATTTAATTCAATTGGCAAATTAGGATTCATTTTTATTTCATCGTATATATTTTTAGGAACGAAAATATATTTAATAATTTTATTGACTGAGTATAAAAATATTTTTTTCCTTTTGTATTTAATATACGTAGTAGATAGTATAACATATGTGAAATATTTGAAAAGTCTTAAACTAAAAAAGAATTGTGCGTCTGCTTGTTACTCCGAGGCTTTGGCTGGCTCAGAAGCTTATTATTTCTTCGTTAATTTTGCAGTTTAGCAACATTAATAGTACGGCAAGCTTTAGCGCGTTCAGCCTCGCGTCGCCTACATCTTGATTGATAATATTATTTACATATTATACGTATTACTTATACAGAATACCATGCTCAGACTACCTCAGCTAATTTTTGGTTTATTATGACACAAGCTGTACTTGAAATAATATTAGCGATTGATATTATCCGTAATTACGACAATTACTACGACAACGTGAAGCAATGACGATGGCACATTGACTTGGTAGCTTTGAGGATTATTTAGTTTCTTAATTTTAATTTCAACGTCATGTCGCATTTGATAAAAGAATACAAGGATATTTATTGACAAAGAAAAATCGCTTGCGTATGGGGAACGGTTCGTTAAGATAGGTAGATGCAAGAATATAAAATTGAAATTTGATGCATCTAGCTATAATAGTTGTTTTATTTATTAAATATTTGACAAGTTACACAATTTTAATTTATATTAAAAAACAAATACAATCGACTTATAAACTGTAGAAATAAAAGATGTAAAATTTAATAGAGCTTTGGTTATCCCTTTTTCTGAATTACAATTAAGTATTCTTAATTCAATATGATGTAACGCGAGCAATACGATTTGTTTTTTCACAGAGGAGAACTTGCAGCAGCTGCACGAGATCCACGATTGCATTCAGCGTATGCGAGACCTTACGTTGGGCACTTTGGGGTACCACATTCGCGTGTCCAACAACTCCGACGCTCCGCAGAGATTGACTTCCTCCTGCCCGTCCCTGTGTCCACTGATCACCGCCGAGCTGGTATCTCGTTCCGGTAACAATCATCACCATGACACTGGCTCCGATCCAGACCTCTTCCTTGCCAATTGCTCTACCAACAGTTCCCCGACGCATTTCCCGTCGGCAAGCGGTCGCGCTCGCACGCAACAGTCGCAGGGTATAGACAGGCGACGCAGCTGGACCGGGGATCTGGAGGATCTGGAAGAGAGTCGACGCGGTAACCGCCGATACTCTGGGCAAAATCATCTGCAGGCCCAAAATATGGTTAATATCGTCCGTTACTTGTTGAAACCAGGGCACGATCCGATCTCGGTGAGTTCAAGTTTCGATGCCGCAGGATTTTGATGCTACGCAAAAGAATATTTTGTCATTACCTTTATGTAATGCTATGCGCATTTTTGTATTTTTTTTTGTATTATTTAAGAAATATAAAGGATATAAAAATATCTCATTTTTGCGCGCGTGTTCTGCGTAGCATCGAGATCTGAACTCGTCGAAATTATATCGGTCTCAAATGCCCGGTCATTCTTGATACTCTCGCTTTATGATGGTGGCATGGCTGGCTCTGGTCGCTTGCGCATTATACGCTTCCCGCCGCAGCCGCCGCTCTAATGCTCGCCACACAATCACAACGTACCCCATTTACTCGTTTCAGCGACAACGCAGCATTAGTTTAAGTAGCCTAGACAGCGAAAACGAGCTAGAATTAGATGGGAAATCGTGTGCTGGACCGGTAAGCGTAGGCAATCGGGCATGCAGGTCACAAACGAGCACTCACTCGCTGAACGAAGCTGATCTTGTACAGGTAAATTTCAGAGATCCTTCTTCGAGGGACGCGATTCCCTCTTTCTCCTGCACAGGCATACTACATAGCGAATTTTTCTTTGACAGAGTGAATATCAGAAGATAGTCATAAAGAGGGATAGTCAGAGGTTAGCAGAAAGTAGCAGTTTAATGCCAGGGCTGACTGGTTCGCGTTTACCTCTTCAGAAATCCATATCGACGCCCTCGATCGTTACACCGCAGGTTCACGCACATTTAGCCGAAACCGGAACTCGGACGACGCCTTCACTTGCAGCGTAAGTATGTTATGCGAATAGATGAAGATCGTACAGCTAGATCAATGATAAAGAAACATCTTAGAAATTACATACATTTTCTATGATTAAAGATCATGTCTCTCTTAAACAAGAACAACGTTTAAGTTCTTTCGAACAATCGTAATCTAGCTTGCGATCTTATTATAAATTAACGCACAAAAAGCTATATGCACACATTTCATGCGTGCGTAGGTACTCGTGTGTCATATATTTTCACGCGCATATATTTACATCTTGTTTCACTTTTTTCTCTACTTTTTTTTTTTTTTAAGATTTTCAATTTTTTGCACAAGTAGAAACTTATTTCTAAAATAAACACAGACATGTGTCCGTGCATGAATTTTTTTAAACTAGTAAAATGGGGATGTCTCTGTTTCTCTCTCTTTTTGAGAGATGTCTACATTCATGAATGCTTAAAACATTCTGCATTATGTAGATCTTTTAGCATGACTGCTCGCGTGTCGTTGTATCATAAGCTACATGAAACATGAACGCAAGAAAACGTCATACCAGTCTGTCTGCTATTATTTATTTATTAATATAATTAATATCTTGAAACTTTCATTATCTACACGAGAGACTAAAATAATAAATAAAACATATGTATATCCATTATTGAAAGTAATAATAGTAATAGTATACTAGTATTATTACTGAAAATAATAATAGTAATAGTATACTTCTCTTTCTTTCTCTCTTTCTCTCTCTTTCTCATTATTTGCCAATCGTGTAATCATTTTTCTTAAACGCAAGCAGTTTGCTATTTAAAATATTATATCGATGTGCTCTTCTGTAATATAGTATCGAAGAATATGTCGATTATAATATTTTATTTTACACGATAGTTGCTTAGTTTGTGTTTGTACTTGAAAATTTGCTATAACAATCCTGCATGAAACAGCCGTCATGAAAGAAACGAAAAGGGTAGCGGGAGTGAGACAGAAACCGAGGATCTTCATACAACACACAGCCACGAATTCCACGAAGACCGAGAGGGCACTCCAAGTGTCCAGATATCCCTTGACGAGCTTTTGACCGAGTGAGTAAAACTTGATGCCTGAAATCTTCATATATATTCAATAACATTATTTATGATATTGCAAATATATTTTTAATATCTCTGATGGAAATGGTTTGTACGCCGGTTTGCCGCCAATCGATCAATTTTGTCAGCCACAAATAGAAAGAGAGTCTGTAGTTATATTACAACTGCAAACATAGATGAATCTAAATACATTTGTTATTTTAAAATGAGACATATATCGTGTATATATATACAAAGTCTGATACCGAGCTGCAGCTGATCGACGCAAAAAAAAAAAATAAGATCGGATATTTTTTGATCAGACCTCGTATATACGAGGTGCTACCGAAAATTTTCCGGACTTACTCTATAAAAAATGTTAGGCTTATTCTATTTACAATTTGCTTCGTAATTATGGCAGTTTAATGTCACTTAAGACTCATTAAACGAAAATTATTGAATCTTTTAAATGCCAATCTACAAAAATTGCTATATCACACATAGCTTGTGCATGCTACACATATCTTTTTAAACACATAGCTTTGATTGCACCGAGGCTACACATATACATACATACTTTTATATCTCATAATAAGCTGTGATTAGATCAAAACGCTTTTATAGTTGCACTGCTGATCACACAAGATATAATTTTAAATGTCTTATTTGAAATTGAACAATGTCGACATTTATGCTGATTTTTTCAGTAGTACTGCATACGATGATCATCATTCCGAAAAGACTAGAAGAAAGCGCGGCTCCATCTTCTTTCGTAAAAAGAAGGTAAAACGATAACTAAATTGCAATTATGCAATATATCTAATAAAGACGTTTTTGACGAATCAACCATGCTAAAATGTCATTCCAGGATAAAAGCGGGAAAAAAACCAATCAGCAGCAACATTTGTGGGTAACGATGACAGTGGGATCTCAAGGAAGCTTACTATGTGATGTTTGTATGAAACATTCGACGAATAAGCCGCTCCTTCATTGCGATAGTAAGAAAACTATTTATATCAGACGCGATTATCTCGCCTTTTGTGAATAATTAACTTTTGTAGAATTATATTTTAATAAATTGTTGTTTTATCAAATCAGATTGCGGAGCATCGGTTCATCAAAGTCAAGGATGCAAGGATCAATTGATGCTGGAATGCGTCAAGTCTAAACATCACTCCAGCAAATCCGCGTCAAAATCTTTGTCGAGTGTTTCCACAATTTCAAGTAACAGCAGCATTAACAAACGTGGTTCCACGACGTCGTTGCCTCTACCAGCGTCATCCGGAAGCGGAAGGTAATATAAGTTTCATCGACGAAAATTATACATCTTTTGCATTGGATCTGCGTATCTGTGGTTCAAGATTCGCACGCAAATGGCATGGCGCTGAGCCTAAGCTCGGAGTTTGTAATAAACTCCTCTTATACTTGTGCGAAACGAGTAATGAGTAACTCGGATCGCGTATTTAATTCAATTGGCAAATTAGGATTCATTTTTATTTCATCGTATATATTTTTAGGAACGAAAATATATTTAATAATTTTATTGACTGAGTATAAAAATATTTTTTTCCTTTTGTATTTAATATACGTAGTAGATAGTATAACATATGTGAAATATTTGAAAAGTCTTAAACTAAAAAAGAATTGTGCGTCTGCTTGTTACTCCGAGGCTTTGGCTGGCTCAGAAGCTTATTATTTCTTCGTTAATTTTGCAGTTTAGCAACATTAATAGTACGGCAAGCTTTAGCGCGTTCAGCCTCGCGTCGCCTACATCTTGATTGATAATATTATTTACATATTATACGTATTACTTATACAGAATACCATGCTCAGACTACCTCAGCTAATTTTTGATTTATTATGACACAAGCTGTACTTGAAATAATATTAGCGATTGATATTATCCGTAATTACGACAATTACTACGACAACGTGAAGCAATGACGATGGCACATTGACTTGGTAGCTTTGAGGATTATTTAGTTTCTTAATTTTAATTTCAACGTCATGTCGCATTTGATAAAAGAATACAAGGATATTTATTGACAAAGAAAAATCGCTTGCGTATGGGGAACGGTTCGTTAAGATAGGTAGATTGACGCGTAAAGTCGAAAAGAAAAAAAATTAACAAGGAAAATGGAGGAAAAAACAGCCTAACACAGGCGAAATGAAGTTGCCCTAATACAGTTATGTGCTTTTTCCTTCTCCCGTGCATTCCCTCTCGTGCAACCACGTGCAAACCGATCGATTGTACGACGATTAAAGGGAAATTAACAGCCACAAGAAAACCATGTCAAGCTACAGTCCTTGGCGGCGAGTCGCTACTAAGCTCGGAGTCAAGTAAGTCTCTGATATCTGATGTGTTCCTCTTGTATTCTGTTCCGAAAGCGTTTCTGTTCGTGTGTTATTCTTACACGCGTCTGATAAAAAGGCGCGCGTCTCGTTCCTCGATTTTTTTCTCGCACACACCTACACATATACACATATTGTCCACAAATCTGTCCAAACGGCAATCGAGTTTTCGTATTGTATAGTCGGAAGAAACGTCATATCTTTGCCCTGCCTGTGCTTCTGATCTTGTGCTTGCTTCTTCTATGATTTGTGTCCATACATTGAGATATATATATTTTTTGTCTTTTATCTCTTCTCGTTGTAAACTTCGCCTTAAATTCTAGCGCGTAAGTTCACGTGTGTTAGTCCATAAGGTATTTTCTCCGTGATAATTATATATATGTATATATATACATCAGACATATATATCATACAATAGATACATGTTCATGACATGTGTTATCATACAGTTTCTATCTCTCTTTTCATTTTTACTTAGTTTACACCCAGTTCAGCTTTGTTAGTTAGTTAATCACAGATAGTTTTGTCATATTTTTTTACCTCATCGTTCCCGCATTTCTCAATGTCATCATGAGATTTCATACTTGAACATTCATATAGACAGATTTTGCAATAATTTGTCAAGGGGTTTTAGGTCGGGTCGGGATTTACGGTCTAATGTACATAAAATGGATACTGTTCTTCGAATTTCCCCGTCATACGTAAATCCGCGTTCCCGATGAATTAGAGAAGCTTAAGCACAAATCGTAGGATATGATAGGAGCGGAGGAAAAGGAAGTGGTATTTACGATGCGTATCCTACCCGACCTGAACTCGGAGGAACTTAAAGGCTCTCGCAGGTCATCCACTTTTTAATATCAAAGATTTTAATTTCTCTTGAATTTGTTAGCTTTATCGGGGTTATGTATTGCGATGAGTAACAATAATTATATTATAACAATGCAGTATAATTTAATAATATATCGGATATTATATATATATATATATATATATATATATATATAATAATGAGAATTGGACGAAGATTCACATACGCTTAAACGAAGATGTTAAGTATCGTCTTACATAAGGTTTGTATTTATATAGGGGCTCACCAGAATAAACTGGAAAGACAGTTTTGTAACGCGTAATATTCTTCAGTCTTTTTAACAAAAAACCGGCATCTCAATACGTTAATTTCAAGAATCTCTCAAGCTGGAATTCAACCTAACGTTATATGCATTGTTAACGGGGAGAGTAAGATTTTTTCTTTAATCACATATAATGCTTTATGAAACAAAGCTATGTCTTTCTTTCAGTCAAACGATAAACGAAGAAAAAGATGGCGAGAGCGGGCAGCATCGTGATCTTCCCAGGTTTGTAAATGTCTTTTCTTTTTTTTCTTTTCCTTTATATAGATATTATAATCAACTTTGGCCACGTATTAATCAAAGTAGCAATGTTGCTGGTATATCTCGTAATGCTGTATTAAAACTGAAAACCAATGAAAAAAAACTAATACAATAATTTTTATTTTTTTTTCAGCGGATGGGAAGAATTTGATTTTGGTGACGACGTTCATCAATTCACCGTGGGTGATCTCGAGGAGATAGATCCCGAGCTAACTTTGGGAAAGGAAGAACCCGATTCCTGGAGCTCCGCAATCGGCCGTAACGTTGCGCTGCGCCTCGTCGATCATTGTGAGCGCGAGGTAAAGAGACAGGAACATATATATGAGTTTGTACTCACGGAAAAGCATCATTGCCTGGTGTTGCTCGCGATGGAAAAGATCTTCGCGGAGGGACTGCGACGGCACTTTCGTCTTGGTCAGCCGGATCTCGAACGTATGTTTCCCCGATTGCGGGATTTGATCGACATTCATCTGCGATTTCTGCAAAAACTGCGAAAGCGGCAGAGCGCCAATCCCGTAGTCTCCACGATCGTCGACATTCTAGTCGAGCAGTTCTCAGGTGATAACGCGCAACGTATGAAGAGCGCGTACGGGGAGTTTTGTAGTCGTCACCGGGACGCTGTCGAGGCATACAAATATTACCTGCGTAACGATCCTCGCTTCGCCCGTTTTGTACGACACTGTCAGGTATGTTACAATAATAAGCAACACAAACGAATTCACGTAGGATTCTAGTGTGAACAGTACAGTTTAAAATAGTGTATCTCTGTGTTCTTAGACAAATCCCTTGTTGAAAAAGAAAGGTATACCCGAGTGTATACTTTTTGTTACTCAACGTTTGACAAAATATCCATTGCTGATTGAGCCACTTATTAAAACCAGCACTGTGCAAGACGAAGGTGAAGATCTACGTAAAGCACTGGTCCTCGTTAAGGAGATCTTAGCTGATGTAGATGCCTGCGTAGCCGATAAGGAACGAGAAGATAGAAAATTAGAGATATACAATAAGTGAGTTCAAATTTTTTTCTCCTTTTTACTCCTTTTCTCCTTTAACGTCATTTATCTCTTCGAAACTATAAACGATAACATTTCTACAGGATTGATGCGAAATCATTCGTTACGTATCGTGGTGCCAAATTTAAAAAGTCAGACATAATCAACAGAATATTGAAGTTTGAGGGCACTGCATACTTGATGCAAGGTCGCGGCAAAATGACTGCCATTGTAGTGGTCGTTCTCTCAGACATATTGTTTTTCTTGGCTGAGAGAGATCAGAAATACGCGTTCTTCGTGCCTGACAATAAAGCCGGTATAGTGTCGCTGCAGAAGCTGTTAGTCCGCGAGAAAGCCCGTCAGGAATCCAGTATTTATCTGATAAGCAGCAACCCGGCTGAACCTGAGATGTTTGAACTGAAGATTCAGAAACCAAAGGATAAACAACTATGGATACGGGCTATTCGATCGGCAGTCGAGGCTTGCCCGCAGGAGTCCGAGAACGAAGCCGACGCGCTGATGGAAAATAGTAACGAATTGCGAGATATTCGCTCTTCCTCGATCTCGCTGGTTTCTATCGAAGAGAAGCAACGTATCGCCAAAGCTAAAGAATCACACATACTTAGAATTGTTGGTATGTCCTACTTTTTCTCACTTTTTCCATAACTTCTAATATTATTGTAATATTATTTTGTATGCCGATTATATTTGCAAATAAAAAATTTATGGTTACAGGCGAATTGCGAAAAAAAGATACTGAGCAGGCGCTGCTATTTGAAGAGAAAATCAATTTGCAAATGCGACTTTTACAAGCGGCGAACATTTGGAGCGGGAATGAGAGCGACAACGAGAGAATCGAGAAACTTGAGAAGGAAGTCGCCGATTACACTCGGTTGGTGCATAACGAGAGGACTGATACCACTCAATTATGGCAGGAGGTTAATGTTAATTCTAAATTATATTTTGTAATCATTTATTGGATCTTTAATCTAGTTAATATGAATCAATCAAAAATAAATTTTATTCTTAACGTAGGTATTTGTAGCCGTGCAAGAAGCGACACGTCTCGCTAGCTCGTTGTCGTTTAGCGCGGGCGGCGCTAATTTATCGAGAAGCTTAAGTTCCGCCGGTGAACGTCACAGTGAAGCTTACGTTCCACCGGCTCTTTGTGTGCCTCGAAGAGCCGAAACTTTTGCCGGTTTTGATCACAACAAGGTATATGAAAACAAAGAGCAAAAAATAATAATTATAGTTACAGGAAAATGTAATCATTAAGTACTCTAATTGCGCTTTTAGGAGAGGCACCCATTGCGTGATCCGAACGCATTGCACACCGTAATTCCTGTTCCGAAACTCGGCGAGTTACCGAAAGAAAATCTCGACGAGAAGGAAGGCTCAGAATTGGAGACGAACAAGGATCAGCAGTGGGCGGCGATACGTTTGTCTCATCACGTTTATACGTTGCTTTGTATAATAAGTAGTCAGATGACGACGATCGATAGTCTACAGGCACAACTGGTCGCGTGTAAAGACGGCGGCACGGGTAAATCGTCCAATAATCGTCCGAATCCGAATCGTCAGTTGGAAGAGTTGCGAAATCTGCAGGATCAGCTCTGTCGAGAAAAAGCAGCGTTTCGAGCCGCCTCTCAGCAGGAGAAAATCCAATTGGAGGAGGAACGGGCAGAGCTGGCCCGCCAGAGAGAACAACTGGCCGCGGAGCAGCGGGATGTGACGCAGCAACGGGATCAATTGTATCGACGACTCGAGGCGTTAGAACGACAGGGCGTCACGTTGGTCGGAAGTTCCACGACCGGCTCGATTCATCTGTCGCACTTGACGCAGAACACCGAAACGATGCAGCAAACCGCACGCGGCAAAGCGCAATCTGAAGCCAAACGCATCCCTCTGAATCTGATCAGCGCGACAAATCAGCAAAAGGTGCAGAGCAATCTGCCAGTTAAACAGCAACTGCCGCTAAAGCTCGCCAGCGGGAGTAACAACAATACAAGGTAGAATCGGCTCATTTCATATCTATATTACGTTGATATTCCACAATAAGCTTTATATTATGTTTCTCGATCGATAGAAGCAGCAGTACCGCGAGTAATAACAGTCCAGATCGGCATTCTAGAACGGGCAGTAGTCCGGCGATCGTCACTAGTTCTGCGTACTCTTCGCCGGAGCTCGGAAATAGCCATCATCACGGAATCGGCAGCGGGAGTCACACGTATTCGTCGAATCGTTCATTTCGAATCACTCGCTCTCCGCCCGAAGTCTCATATGCGCAGCAGCAACAGCAACAACAGCGAGGCGCGGAACAGCACTCGCAACAGCAACAACAGCAGCCGCTGGAGGAAGAGGTGATCTTTTTCTGACGATTCTTTCGATTCGGTCGCAAGCACTCATCGCGTTCGTCGCGCGCCGCCGCCGCTACTGGTACAACCACGCCAACCTCCACGCCAACACCGTCGCCGCGCAGCCAGTCGCGGAACGGTCAGTCCCGAAGTCGCGTCAAGTCCTTTTGATTTTCGACATAAATTTCTTGCGGTAATGAAATCTATACTTTATCCGGTGCTTCGCGGATACAACCCTTTGAAGTCACTCATCGTAATTTATCATTTCGCGTTTTCTTCTATTGTCCATTCTCGTATCCCACTTTTTTTCTCACTACGGTTTGATCGTCTTACGACAGGATGCACATACTGTTCTTTATTTCACATCTAATAAGGTCATACTTGAGTGCAATATGAGAATTCATCCTATCCCCACACTACGATGATACTATCATGAATAAATGCGAGTATTTAGCCTCGATATAGTTGGGAGAAGGATGTAAAATAATAATTATTACGTTCCAACTGCTACAACTGATGGCAATAATATAATTTTTATGTCAAATTTCACGAAATTACCTTGACGAAAGAAATATGTTAAGAATAAAATGCAATTTCTATTAAGAGTTATGAGTAATCATGGTCAGAAATACTCGCGAGACAAAGGAAGAAAGAGAGAGAAAGAGAAGTATTAATTGCGTAGCAAAGTAGATCAGCCGATCTTGTTAAAGTCTTGCTCGTTACGTTATTAAGCCGACTGACAGTTTTAGAAACACAAGATTTTAGACGAATCTTTTAAGCAAACCTGTTGCTGCTTGCTGAAACATGCAAGATAGATGAATACATATATATTACGGTTACATATACATTGAATGTGTACATATATATATACATAAAATATATACTTTTTCATGAGTGTGTATATACAATTGGTTATGAATGAAAAGAAGAATGTACTTGTGTGTGTATGTGTTTCTTTTCACGCATACACGCATATCTGAGTTATCTCTGTGAATGCATGTTGTTGTGAATGCGAGAGAGCGATGGCTATTCTTATATCATAACTATTAAAGTATTTTAATGCTAAAGCAGTAAAATCTACTTTTAACGATAATGAATTATTATCATTACTATTGTTACGTGTGCCAAATCATTGTCGTAAATCGAAATTAATACTGCATTTTATTTTTGACTAAAATTATTTACTGCAGAAATAATTCCATTTGTTAAGTGCACACGATATACCGAAATACGAATATATATAATAAAATAGAAGGAGGAATTCATATCTGGCATTTGGTTTCGAGATTATTCACTGCCATTATATTGTTATTCTTTATTGAGAATGTTCTTTTTCTTATATTATTGTCTATACAAACTTTACACTATTTATTGCATTGCTTAAGATTGATGATTAAAGTCTATACGAAACTACGCGAAATACGGAAACTGGGAGAGTTCGTTGTACAAGAATCGCGTAATGATGAATATCCCATCGTCCCGAATTCGCGTTTTTTCGGGAATCTTATATTCTGCACTGTCTGACATATTTTATTTATACATGTATCATGCTTATCAACGAAGAAAAGTCTCAAATAAGAATTTTTTAATCATACGAGATACTGTACATCGGAGCCGCCGATTCACTATCCTGTATATAAAATGCAGAGGATACAATACGCGCATTTAGCATTTACTTTAGCGAAGATTATCATATCGAATCAAATCATTCTCGTCTCTCACAAATTCGAAAAGGATAATTCTGTACGCGACAACTCCATTAATACGTAAAACACATTGTTGTGATGATTGTCAATACGCATCCGAATTATGAATTCCTAAACTATTCGGTTTACAAACGGTCATAGTTATATAACGCTGTGTAAATATACATTCCTTAACAGATAAGACTGGCATGCAATATGATCGAATTGACGAAGGCTAGATAGAGGATTGATTATTGATCATTGTAATAGATCGACGATAAGAAAAAACGACTAATGAATTGACCTCGTTAAAAAAATTTAAGTAATAATACTACCAGCTGCTCGCGTCTCAATCAATCGTGTGGTGACAATAGATCTTAAAAGTATTCCATAAGGTATGCTGAATTACGCGAGAAAAAGAAAAGAAAAAAAAAAACACATAAGCGATGACTTATATATTATATACGAATCTATACCTATTATTACTTACTATCTACTGCGATGACGAGCTAAAATAAAAGCTCAAACTCAGACTATTATTGCGATTAGCTGTTACAGTGTCTGCCACGGATGAATGTTCGACTTCAAATCGCGGGATGACATATATA